AATCTTCGACGGACTCTAGTAGAAAACAGTTTCACGCCCAGATTCACGGATAAGAAAATAAAGGCAGAGAGCCCAACTGAACGAACACATTTGGCGCCCAAAATGATTCTGTTGTTGAATCTTGATTTCAAAAGTGATATTGCTGCAGACATCCTCAAGAAACGATTTTCAAAATCCTTAAATAGAACATACTTTACCGCCAACCTTCGAAGTATTTTCTCCTGTAAGAAATCATTTGGTCAATATGTGAAAGACAAGCTGACGCATTGGGCCACATTAATGTGTGTATACCAGTTTACTTGCTATTGTGGAGCTGAGAACATCGGCCGTACCATGCGTCCGCTTATAAAACGTGCTCGCAAACACGACCTACCCTGGTTGGCAAAGGGAGGACGGAAATGTATCCTCAGCTCAATAACAGAATACCTAGTGAACTTAGGACACTTAGCTCCTTCTCAGAACTCATTCAAAATCCTCTGCAGGGTTCGATCAAACCATTCGAAGGGATTAAGATCAAGACATTTGGGTATAGCTGATGCACTAGCAATTCAGAAGTTCATCCTGTATTATGTAACTATACATTTAATTTCATAATGCCTTGTTTATTTTCCCACTCTAAACCCAAATGTACATTATCTACTTTTAGTTATTCAGTATATTCCCCCCCCCTGACCGGAAATAATTCTGGAACGTCCTGCCCACTGTAACATATATTCACGAATGTACAGTTTAGTAAATGACTTCATCGAGAAGAGAAATTCCTCTTTGCTGCAACCGCGTTTTGTCTTTTCATATGATCCCCTTTCTTTGCATCGATGGTTTCCCTACAGTTGGATCGGTCGGTTTCCGTAATTGATTTGTTTCGAATAGGCTCGTATATTGCCTCCGGGTTGATATAGCGGTTTACTGCTAATTGTCTCTTTGTCTCCAACCAACAAGGAACTCTCTGAACACCGCTATATAGGACAGTCACGTAGACCAGTACTAGAATGCCTGTATGAACACAGGCTAGCCATTAAACGTAATTATATGAAGTCTATCAAAGCAATACAATCTGACAACAATAACTACACACGTTTGACTTAAACAAATTTAAAATACTCGAAAATGGCCGGGGAATTCTTCCAGGTATGGCACTCCAGTGCGTTGAATTTCAAATTCAGCTCTACAAAGCTCACATCCACAACGGCTATTTCGCAAGGTCATTCATTCTGTGGAAATCTAGAAATAGGTACTCACTAATGCCCCTGCTCATCACTAATCGTATTGCCAAAAAGTATTATCATTTCTTCTCTTCTTCTTTGTTGCTGGTTGGATCAGAAAATCGCCGAGTATACCTAACAAGAGATTTTTGACGTTTTCTCCAACTGCTAATCACTCGTTATTCTACGTATATTTGACATCATATTGCATCTAAACCAGAAACTAAACAGAAAAACAGAATTTTCTGTAGCAATTCATCAGTTCACATTCTCTTGCGATAACCACAGAGAAATCAGCCTTACGAATATAGTGTCGAAGATTCTGAATTCTAGACGTCTGAGTGGAGCTCAGGAACAGCAAGTCTGATGAAACCAGGCAGACCTCAGACTTGGGTGTGGGTGAATCGATCAGATATCCACACTCCGCCTGGTTTAGGAACACAGTCATGAATACTGACCCCCAACACAAGCTGTATTTCTCGACCTGGAGGTAGCATTATACTCCGTCGATCAAGAGGTCTTATAGCAGTATTTCTTATTGAAACGGGTACTGAATAAGTACATCACTCTGTTAAAGACTCTGTATTCGAACACCCATGGGCGTGTTGGAGTCTATAGTGGATTGTTAGGTGAGCTGGGTACATCAACTGGTGTCCCTCAACGATGCCCACTCTCTCCATTCTTATTCAATTTTATAGTCAATGTTTTTATGTAGGTCTCTCTCTCGACATCTGAATACACAGGCATTGGCTTAATCACAGGAGAATTTTCGGTTGGCCTAGAGCACGCAGATGACATAGGCCTTTTAAATGAAGACACTGATGAGATACAGTCTTCTGGACACCTTGAGTGGTAATTTGAGAATGTTCGGGATGCGTTTCTCGCCACCTAAATGCGACTTTTTGTTCCGGGACTGGTCTTCAACGATACCTCAGCTGATAATAGAGAGTAGAATAGTTGAGTGCGTCGACCACTTCACTTACCTGGGAAGTCGAGTCAGACCTGGTAGGTCCGAGAAAGATGAATCTCTGTATGGATACAAAAGACTCGATTGGCTTTCGCCAACTTACGCTATATGTGGTGCTGCTGCGAAATGACTGCTTGTTAAAAATCAAGTGTATAGTGCTGCAGTTCGCCCCATTCTACCGTATAGCCATGAAACATGGCCATTAAAGGTAGAAAAATATGAGAAAGCTTCAGGTATTTGACCACTGTTGCCTTTGATGTATAGGCCACTTCGTTGTTTCACCATTTGTGCAACGCAGAAGTTAGGTGTAGAGTCTAGAGCAGGAGTGGAAAGTCAGTTGATAAGGTAATGAACCTTCATCGACTGGGATGGCTAGGACACGTGTTACGTATCCTCAGTCATAGTCTGTTTCGTCGCACAATGTTAGCTGAAATAGTTTCAGGCTGGAAAGAGGCTCTCCGCAGCTAGACTAAAACATGGCAATACTTTACTAAGTAACTCTCCAACTAGATCCTCGAAAACCTCCACTATCAAGCCATCACGTCATTCTACATTACATCCTTCAAGATAGAAACTCCCTACTCAACTTCAACACCAGTTGGGTGGCAAACAACAACGTCCCACTCACCGTCGTTCGCACTGATTGTCTACCAATGGAAGCACGAATGTAGGCGAGTCAAAATGCCCTACAAACTGTTCTACCCATCTATCTTCACAACTCATCAACGATCCAACAGTTCAGTGACGGTATCACTAACCATACTCTTATTTTAGCCATTTTCCTTAATTGGCCTCAATACTTGCTGAGTATTATCTAATAATGATCACTCCTACATCTCTTTCGCTCTCACGATACACAACTGCTGGTCCCAGTCATTAACATGACTCCTAGTCAATAATACATTTAAGTTGTTGACCACGCTGACGACATGGAAAGCTAATGGCCTTTAACAACCTTCAGTTGTATGTTACTAGCTACCTCTACCGCTGTTTCTACACCACAACAAAAATATTTCACTCCAATGCATTCGCAAGACAGTTGATTCCATGTCCAGATAAACCCTCAGCTACCTCCTCTCTAAATAAAATACATATCTGACTCTCATACCCCAACCGAACACACAGAGGCTTCACTTCAGTCTACCTCTTGCGTCCACGCATCCGTAAACACATATATGTCAAGACTAATCCACAATCACACTTCAACCAAACACTCCAAATTCCATATTAGATTTGTTTATTTGATCTATAACACACAGTGATCTAGCATTATTTACTTGATGACGTTTCGAGCATAAATTATTGCTCATAATCATATCATGATTATATTAATCAAACACTCCAGAACCAGTGACACTCCTCCAATGATACTCTTCAACGTTGACTTTTAGTAAGATGATCCTATTAGTCTTTACTCTTGGCATAGTGGCCATGGAAACCAATGCTATAATGTAGTCACCTATGTTTAACGTTCCTCCCTGACACGAAAACGTCACAACTGTCTCATCAATGTAGGAGTAAAACATGGCCAATGTAGTAAAGTATAATTTCACGTCAAATTAGTTTCATTGACATAAAACACAGTGATACAGTATAATCTAATAATAAATATTACTCTATCATTGTGTCACATCAAATAAATTAATCCATTGCAGAACCTAGAGCAAAAGTATACGAGATCATTGATGTCAGTTCGTCTGCGCCCGTTTCCCTTGGTATCTCTAGGATCCTTTACCGATTGACTCACCTACCCTACTTCAATGTTTAAGTCCCCTGCCTTATCCAAACGTTTTGCTTCATGTAGCGAACTGACAACTTTTGTAGAACCCATCCTTTGTATAAGCAGAACACGAGTCAGTGGGCACGTAAGCGGACTAAGAATGAGTGTCGGCAAGTCTCACAGTCATTTTTCGTTCTCATAGATCTATTCAGTAGGACATCGCAAATACATTTATCAACCGGTTTATAGTTCAGAAGTTCACTTTTTATTCCAAAACGTAGTGACTCACCTACGCCAGTGAGTCAGTGTGAAGAAGCTATCTAGTCGCTCAACACTTGAGAAGTGAGTTTGACAGACTCAGCACACTGACTGAGTGGCCTCCAAAATGTATCTCAGACACCATATATATATATATATATAGATATATATATATATATATATATATATATATATATATATATACTTCAAGTCTTAGCAAGTCAAATCTGTTGTCTAAATTTTTATAGGGTTCGATGATAAACGTTCAAATTTAAAGTTAGTAGTGTCTTTAAAAACTAGAAATGGTGTGTATCTGACTGGGATCGCAACAGTGACCGTAAGAAAGAATTTGAGGGAAGTGTAGTGGATATAATTTTTTAAGAATAACCGGCAGTGAACGTAAGGGAGGAGACAGGTGAAGAAAGTAGTTTACAATCAGATAAGTGTTCTCTACTTCTGAAACGGCTCCGATTATCGTTTATTCTTCTCTCTCATATCGTGGAAATTGATACCTTGGTGAGGTAACTAAAATGGAAAGTGGATTGGTTTTGCGTGACCAACCATATACAGCCTTTGGGAGAGATTTAGATGTGGATTCTATTGATAAGAAGCGGCTGCTATTGATACATTTTAAACAATTCAAGGAAAGAACTTATGTCAAACCAGACAGAGACTGCATGCATAGGTGAGACACAAATCAAATGAATGATTAAAATTCATCACTTCTTCAGGAGGGCTTTAGAACACGTTGAAACAAACAAAAAAAGTGTGCACAAATATTTATGCTTTGTAGGAAACCATTATGATCAACTGGAAAAAATATAAGTAAACTAGGAGAAAATACTTAACTCACTAAGTCTGATGCGGGAAAATAGTGATTCAACTTGGCAAGGATTAATGTATATTTTTTGGTTGACGCAGACAACTCCAGGTACATGTGCATGATCTAAACAAGATAAGTAATAAAAACAGATCTTATCACAAAATAAGTAAAAGAATCAACAGTTCAGTGACTTGGATACTTTATTTCCGGTAAAAACATTCTCCTATTTAAATCCTTTTGTCAGGCAAGCCAAATGCTATACTTTGAGTCACTCCTAGTCTAACGCTTAATGTGTTTAAGCGAGAAGCTTGCCATCATTTATATTAACAGAAATCACTTTCCAACGTGGAACGCGATAAGTAGACAGTATCCATAAGAATATCTAAAACGCGTATTTAGAAGTAGGCTTTGACAGGCACCAAAAGAATAACGAAAAACCAATACATTCAAACACTATCTGAAATAAGCACGGATTTTAGAAAAACTGACATTCAGAATAATGAATTATTAATACTGGATGATGATGACCAGAATAATTCGAGCCAGCGACCTCTAGTGTCACCAATCCGATGTTCTACCAAATGAGATACGAGACCCGGCTGCTGACCATATCTTAATCTCACTTCAATCGATCATCCCGAACGGCAGTTGCTACCTTGACGTGGTGGTCGGGCTTGCATATCACAATGACCCAACGAGCTATGCTGGTGGAACGCTTGTTCCCTCGAGGTCCTACCATACCAGAAAGGTCTGTTGGGTAGTGGTTAGACGAAAAGCAGTTACCGTTATAGTGTAAATTGCTACACTATGATGGGGGTCTGAGGGCGAAGTCGTACTGCTGCTAGCTGGATGGGGTGTGACAGCAGTAAGGTGTTTCCCTTGGATGACCAGCAGTGCCAAGCTGATGCTGCCTTCTCAGTGGAAGGGGGGTTAGAAAAGGTCGGCCCCAAAAATAACACACTCCACCACGCCCCACGGTCTGCCGGGCCGGCGGTGTTGGTTCACTTGTCGTTTCCTTTCGCTCATCCGGCCCCAAAAATACAAAAGTTCAAAATAATCATACTCAAAAGGCTGGGTGTGACAGGCCTCAAGCAGATGTCCGATGGGCTCTGCGGTCACACAAATCTCTTTCAGGTACCTTAAGAAGAAATAGCCTTCCACGGTGTGGGCAGCCGGGAAGTGTCAACCGCCCTCACAACTCTGTCAGCACCCAAGTTTCTTCTGACTGCTATCCTCCTCCTCCATCATTACCTTCTAATCTTCCTTCACGTCTCTTAATTAATGATGCTGCATCATCTTCAATTTCTCCTACCTCTGCAGCCTTCGACAACGATCTGAGTCCACAGAACAGCATCCCTGGTCTCCTTAAACCACGCTCCAAATTACATATTGGAGCCTTCAATGTCCGCACCCTCCGTCAAATTGGCCAACAGGCTTCGTTGGCAAAGACTCTAGCAACTCGGGCATGGATGTGTGCTGTGTTTGTGAGACACGCATACAGGACCCAAGTGTGGTTATTCACCTGACCTCTCCTGACCAATCTGGTGAATCTGCAAAATTCACCCTTCGAGTTTCTGGAGATTCGATAGCTAGCTCTCGTGGTCTTGCAGGTGTAGGTATAGCATTAAGCACCAGGGCAGAAAACTCACTACTAGACTGGATCCCAGTTGATAGTCGCCTCTGCGCTATGAGGCTGAACGGCACAGTGAGAACTAAAAGGAATAGTGAGACTCGCCGTTGTCTCTTTGTAATCTCTGCTTACGCACCCACTGACTGTAGTTCGGATGAAGTGAAGGACGAGTTCTACCATAAACTGTCTAACCTCCTCTCGAAAGCCAAACGTTCGGACGTAGTGGTTGTTGCAGGTGACCTCAACGCACAGGTGGGTAGACTGAGTGAGGCAGAAAGGCACTTAGGTGGCACTTTCGGAATCCCAGCTGAACGTACAGATAACGGTGATCGCCTATTACAACTATGCTCAGATAACCGCCTATTTTTAGCCAGCACAAATTTCAGACATAAAGAAAGGCACTGTCTGACCTGGCGTCCACCGAGCTCGACTCAGCGATGGACACAGATAGACCACATTGCTATTAGTCATCGCTGGAGAGGATCGGTGGAAGACTGCCGCTCCTTCTGGAGTACGTGTTTGGACAGCGATCATGCGTTGGTCCGAGCACGTATATGCCTGCGTCTCAATGGACGTAGAAAAAATTTGGCAACAAAACCACTACGAGTTCTGCTGGACAACGAAAACACCAAAGCCGTGTTCAGTGAGAAGTTGGCTAGGCAGTTATCGGAACAAAAGACTGTCACTCATCCAGAAGAAGCTTGGTGCCATCTTCAGTCTACTGTAAAAGCAGCACTGGAGACTGTAGCCGACTCCAAGATAATGGCTAAAAAGAGCCAGTGGATATCAGCAGCTTCTTCCAAACTAATGGATGCACGTGAATGCATCCCTGCAGGCTCTGAGTACAATGAAGAGCGAGCGCAACTTAAAAATAAACTGACGAAAAGTCTGCGCAACGATCGTGAACAGTGGTGGGCAGCAAAGGCTAAAGAGATGGAAAAGGCAGCGGCGATCGGTAACAGTAGACAGTTATTTAGACTTATTAAGGAGACTGGGGGGAAATGGTCAACAACAGTTAGTGAGGTTATAGCGGAGAAGGACGGATCGGCGATTCACTCGCAGGGAAGGCGACTGGGACGATGGGCAGAACACTTTGAGGAACAGTTTAACTGGCCTCCAGCCACCATTGCGCTGCCCGCTATCCAGTCGGACCCTGAATGGGACATAGAGACAGGTCCCCCAACACTAGAAGAAGTTGAGAAAGCGGTAGGTAGCCTGAAACGGGGAAGGGCAGCAGGACCAGACGGACTACCTGCTGAGGTATACAAGAATGGTGGTAGAGTTCTCTTAGTCAGGCTAACGGAAGTGTTAGCCAGTATATGGGAATCAAATACGATCCCCTCCGACTGGTCTAAGTCACTCATCATCCCAGTCTTCAAGAAAGGCGAGAAGTCCTCTTGTGATAACCACAGAGGAATCAGCCTGACAAACATAGTGTCTAAGATCCTAAGTTCTATAATTCTCCGACGCCTGAGTGGAGCTCGGGAACAGCAAGCCCGAGAAAACCAGGCAGGCTTTAGACCTGGCCGTGGATGTATCGACCAAATATTCACACTGCGCCAGGTCCTGGAACATAGGCATGCTTACAGACGCCCGACAATAGCTGTATTTCTCGACCTGAAGGCGGCATTTGACTCCGTTGATCGAGAAGTCTTATGGCAGTGTCTGTCACTGAAAGGCGTGCCTAGTAAGTACATCACCTTATTGAAAGCTCTCTACTCGAACACTTGTGGGCATGTTAGAGCCTATGGTGAGTTGTCCAGGGAGCTATACTCATCAAGTGGTGTCCGTCAAGGATGCCCACTATCCCCATTCTTATTTAATTTTATCATAGATATTCTTATGGAGGTTTCCCTCTCGTCACCTAATTACAAAGACGTTGACCCGATCACAGGTGAATTTTCCTTAGATCTAGAATATGCAGATGACATAGTCCTGTTAGGTGAAGACGCTGACAAGATGCAGAGTCTTCTGAACACTTTGAGTGGGAATTTGAGAATGTTTGGGATGCGATTTTCACCACCCAAATGCAAATTTTTGCTCCAGGACTGGTCTTCAGCGGTACCGCGGTTAACAATAGAGAGTGAAGTGGTTGAGTGTGTTGACCACTTCACTTACCTGGGAAGTAGGATCAACCCGGTGGGTTAGTTGCCGATGAGATTTCTGCACGGATACAAAAGGCTCGATTGGCTTTTGCCAATTTGCGCCACCTATGGCGCCGCCGTGATATTCGTTTGTCTATTAAGGGTCGCGTGTACTGCACAGCAGTCCGCTCTGTTCTACTGTATGGCTGTGAAACATGGCCATTGAAAGTGGAGGATACAAAAAGGTTTCAGGTGTTTGACCACCGTTGCCTTCGTAGTATAGGACGTATTCCGTGGTGTCACCATGTGAGTAATGCAGAAGTTAGGTGTAGAGTTTTAGGGAGAAGAGGTAAGTCAGTCGACGAGGTTGTGAACCTTCATCGACTGAGATGGTTGGGACACGTACTACGTATGCCTAGTCACCGATTGCCTCGTCACACAATGTTGGCTGAGGTGGGTTCAGGCTGGAAAAAGGCCCGAGGTGGCCAGACTAAAACATGGCACCAATGTATGAAGTCTCTGACTGTTGGTTTGAGCCATGTAGGACGATGCAGACTAGGTGGTTGGGGTCCGCGGGACAAGAGGAACCAGTGGTTGGAGACCCTAGGTGATATGGCTCAGAACCGAAGTCAGTGGCGCAGATGTATACACACATTATCCTCATCTTAACAACGCTATACCGAATCTCACTATTTTGTCACTCCTCTTTCCTTTCTTCTCGTACTTTATATTTCTTTTGACTGCATTCACTTATCTTCATCCTTCACCTCACTACCTTTTTACTTGATGTGCTGATATGAGGTGTGGCAACTCGGACCGTTACGCAGTAATGCCTGGTCCTATGTTGATAATGATGATGATATCACAATAGCCCAATGAGCAATGTTGGTGGAACGCTTGTTCCCTCGAGGTCCTACCATGCCAGAAACGTCTCTTGGATAGTGGTAAGACGGAAAGCAGTTACTGTTGTAGTGTAAATTACTAAACAATGATGGATGTTCGAGGGCAAAGTCATACTGCTGTTAGCTGGATGGGATGTGACAGTAGTAAGGCGTTTCCCTTGGATGACCGACACTGGCACGTTGATGCTGTCTTCCCAACAGGAAGACGAAGTTAGAAAAGGTCGGCATCAAAGATACCACATTTCTTCTGCCCCACGGTCTCCCGGAGCCGAAGGTATGGGTTTATCCTATCCGGTGTTAAAACAACTAAACCCCAAAACAACATCCCGCAAAAAGCGGTGTGTGACAGGCCTTAAGTAGATGTCCCTTGGGCTATGTGGTCGTGTATTATCCTTTCTTTTTTAAGTAACTCGAGAAGAACTAGTCTCTCGCAGTGAGGGCGCCCGGAAGGGTTAACCGTCAGCACGCCTCCAGTCTATCTGTCAACCGATAACCAAGGGTTTTGTC